TTCTTAAAATTACGTTAAATCTAAATTAGTTTCCACATGTTTAAACATAATAAGTGACTTATTATTATATTTAATAATTATATAAAGAATTTTTATAAAAATTGCCTAATCGTTGCATTTATATCTTTTTATAGCTAAGGATAATACCATTTCTTAACAAAAATTATATACTGGTAAAAAATAACAATATTAAATATTTAAAAAAATTTTTAATGTTTTTATAGTTAAAATAAAGTAACCAGTATGAGCACTCAGCAATGAGATACCTTTATGACTTTCTATGATAAATTCCCTCTAATAAATCTAAGAAAAGACTACGTCCGTATGATATCTGCTGTATACGAGTAATTAATAAATTGTATTCTTGTTCTTCGTATGTTAAATAAATATTCGACAGATTCATATCAATGAAGAGCTGTTTCACGCGTCTTGTTTTCTCCGGATCCGAAAATCCGTAACACTCCTGCGTGATAACAGAAAAGAGAAAAAAGAAAAACAGAATTAACATAACAGCATTTTAAATCTCCCGATATCACAACAGAGAAATTACATGCTAAAATGTCATTCAAAATATATTTAATGAAATTATTTGTCATTAAAATTCACATTCGCAATCGATACAGATAACAGATTCGTAAAGAACATAAGGAACAAATTCCCTTTTGAACCAATAATTGAAAAATAATCAAATATAGTCTCATGTGTTTTCTCGCTCCTGATAATTCAAGATAATAACGATAAACAAGCAGGAGCTAATAATGAAAGAATATATTTAATAAACGATACTCACTCTTAAAATTTTACGTTGCTCTGTAGTAGCGCGATCGAGAGCTGTAACAACTAGCCACGTACATTTTCCTTCTTGTATATCAGTATTATCTTTGCCAAAGGCCTCGGAATCTCCATAGCAAGCCAGATAGTCATCTTGAACTTGGAACAAACGTCCCATGTCTAACAAGATGTGTTTCGTTTGCCTGAACATTTCAGGATCTTTTAGTCCTACCTGCATCAAATATCATGTTGTAGTGCGCGCGATACAAGTCATAAAAAAAACTGAACTTACTAAGTGCATTGCTGCGGTTATTGGCAAATAACATGTACAATACGCTGTTTTGTGCTCGGCAATGGAATTATATCGATCCATTGTAAACAAATGTACATTGAGCTTTTTACCGAGATTGCTGGAACACAGATCTATGCACTGTCCCATTGTCGCCTTATAGATGACCTGCCAAAATGCTTTTATAAACAATTGTTCAACTAAAAAATCCTGTCATTTATATTTATGTCAGATCAAAAAGAAGGTATCCTCACTCACATCGTGGAATGTTTCTAATAAATCAATGTAACATTCTTTTTTGTTGAAATATTTCCGAATTATATAAAACAGAGTTTGCTCTAACATTATACCATCAGAAATAGCCATTAATTCTACGTCACAGCGTCGATACCAACAAGGTTGTCCTCGACGGAGTAACGATCGATCTTGTATGTCATCAAGTATGAGCACGGCAGCTTGCAACTGTATAGAAGTAAATATCTTAATTATAATGTAATTTTTGATAATTTTAATTTAAATAGATGATTACATACAATACACTATCACTATTTTCGATAGATGCCATTAACTAAGATGTTACATATTGCGTTTGAATAACTAGAATTACTTCATGCAAATGTATTAATTTATATATCGGATAAAGTTATGTACCAGTTCTATGCACCACGCTAAAATCCGTACTAAACGAAGGTTATCTTCCGTAAGTTGATTACGTGATGCCAATGATTTGTAAGCATAAATTAATGCTAAACTACGAACTTTTTTTCCGTTTGGAACATTATATTGCAAAAGCTGTAAAAATCCGAAATACAGTAACACAAGTTTGTATATCTATTTGAATGTATGCCAATCTGTATATTTTATATTTCGCTATAATTTTTTTATTACATTTTTATTACATTTTTTTATATGTTAATAAAATACTTGTTTTATTTCTTTTATTATAGTCTTTAATGTATTAGTCAAATACTCAAAATTTTCTTTTTTCTACAATCTCTTATTAGTTTTAATTATTTATATGCTTTCTAATTTTAAAAATTCAATAATGCCTTATCTGTTTAAATTTATACAACATTGTAATAAGAGAATTTTCTTAGAAAAATTTAAACTTTTATATTCGTAAACATGTGTCAAAGAATTTTTATTATTTTCTAACTATTTTGAAGAAATTAATTTTAATATTAAATTTTAATTATATCATTTTTAAATACCGTTTGATATTTTAATTAATGAATACTTACTTTTTTCATCCATATAGTAAAATCTGGAATGTTTAAGTCGATCGATTCTGTAATATCACGGACAATACTTGGCCACAGTATCATCATCTTCTGAATTTCTTCATTATCTGTCACCCACATCGTTTCGGTCACGGAATTAGCCATGTGTAAGTTACGATATAATACTCTAAAATGTAACAAACATTAAATAATAAATATAATAAGTAATAATTTATGTAATGTTATAAATAAAATTTTAATATTGCAATAAATCACAAATAATTTAATAATAAATAACGACAAAAAATGTTATTAACTTGACATTTATGATATCATTAAATTTAAAATAAAATTTCTAAGTTTTATAACTTACTGATTTTGATCAGAATTTCTTCAGAAGATGACGAAGAGTAGACAAAGAGAGAAAACTGAAAATAAAAGTTTATTCTTTGCTTCGACATATATACCCGCTGCATCGAATAACAATGCATATGTATACTCTTTTTACAACAAAATGTATATGTATATTGTTATTGACAGAGTTAGGTAAGTAAGATTTGATTGCATTAATATTAATAGCTCATAAAATTAATTCATAGTCAGTTATGTCAAAAATTGTACTAAAAGAAAATTTAACGTAAAACTTACTTAAAGTTACTTTAAATCTATATTAGCTTTCACATGATTAATCAGACTTATTATTATATTTAATAATGATATAAAGAACTTTTATAAAAATTGCATAATCATTGCGTAATTTATTTTTCTAGATAGAGATAATATGTTTCTTGACAAAAATTATATATTAAGCATTTTTTTTATATGTAATGTAATATCTTTCATAAAAGATAATTTACACATATTGATAAGAATATTAAATATTTTAGAAATTTTTTATTATATATATATATTTTATAATTAATTTGGACTCTACGTAATAATGATCTATTTTGCACATTGTCAATCATGAGTATAAAAGCATGCAATTGTTTAAAAGTAAATATTATTATTACAATGTGTTATAATTTTTTGTACATAATTTTTTAATCTAAATAACTTATCACAATATATTTTGTATAATTTAAATAGATATAATAATTTGAAATGTTTGTTATGTTTCAATAACTTGGATTAGTGAGAAGATATTAATATTAAATAATTAAAGTTAATTAAAGTAAAATTAATTAAAGTTACGTAGTATTCCAAATACCATTCTAAAATTCGTGTTAGACGAATATTTTCTCGTGAGTTGATCACTTGGTGCCAAGAATTTATAAGCATGATAAAACGTGACTTTGCTTTCTTCTTGAAACATTGTATTATAATAGCTGTACAACACGATTAGTTTATGTACATTAGTACATTATGTACATTAGTGTATATACATATATTTATTCAAATTTACAGCTTTTTGATATTTTTTTTATCATTGTAAATTTTTCATCAGTTAACAAAGACACAAAAGATTCCTTTATTTTATAAGATTTTCTTAGTTTTATTTATTTATGTTCTTTCCTCCTAAGTAAGTTGAAATTTCCATAATAATTCATTTTTTACACATTTTTACATTAGTATCATAAGTAAAATTTAATTTTAATTTTATATTTTATTTTAAAATTTTGTATTTATATATTTATACATATGTAGTTATAATTTTTATATATAATTATAATTTTAAATAATCGTATTACAAAATCTTAAATTATGTTATTTTTCATTCTATAAAAATTTAATAATATGATGATTGAATTATGACCGAGTTTTTGATTCTATTATCTTATTCTACTTTGTTGTATAATATTTCATGAATTATTTATTTTTTTCCTACTCCATTAATAACATTTGGATTGTTTAAGCGACTTTCCGTCGTTTCCATGACATCATGAATAACATCTGATCACACTCATAATCTCCTGTCTTTCTTTCCTGCTTATTTCAGACATAGTTGAGTTATTGATTATAAATCAAATTTAAAGTTTTTACGAATTATTATAAAATATAAAAATAAGCAAGAAACAATAGCGATTTTGTCTTACAAATAAAATTTTGATATTGTGTAAATTACGAAACAACAATGGAAAAACTGATGTTTTTCATTTATATTTATATTTATATTTTTGATTTTGATATTGTTTTATTAGTCACTTTATTTTCTGTACTTCACTGAATTTGATGAGACCTTTTTCAGAAAAGAAGATTCAAAAACAAAACAGAACTTAAAAACAAAACTTTTCTTCAGTGTTTTATTTTTAAAATATTGCATACAATACATGTATATATATTCATCTTACAGACTAAAGCTGGTATTACATTTGTCGTACAATAAATTTTTCAAGCATCTTGATTGATTGCAGGATAAAAAGTTTCTAAAGACTCGAAAATTTCTTTATTCTTTATTCAGTCAATACGTCTGAAAAATTTGTCATATGACGCATGTAATAGCACCCTAAAACGACAAAAATGACAAATCATTGACAATTCACGTAGGTGTTATGTAATTTTCAAAAAAATTTTTGTATTTTTAAAAATAGTAAATTTAAAAATTAACTGTATATATATATATATATATATATATATATATAACATAATTCGTTCTTATAGATAAAATTAATTATCTTTTGATAAAAATTTTTATTAAAATATCCTAATTAAAAAAAAATTTTATTGAATAAGAAATTTAACAATATTTCATACATTATCTGTGTAGCAGAGACAGATGCATCTGTCTATTTACATGCAAAGTGCATCAAACAATTGAAGTTACTGAACAATTCAACCACAATTATGATCAGTATAAGCACTCAACATTGAAATGCTCTTATGATTTTCTATGGTAAATTCCCTCTAATAAATCTAAGAAAAGACTACGTGGAAGACCACATGATATCTCCTGTATACGAGTAATTAATAAATTGTATTCTTGTTCTTCGTATGTTAAATAAATGTTCGGCAGATTCATATCAGTGAAAAGTTGTTTCACGCGTCTTGTTTTCTCCGGATCCGAAAATCCATAACATTCCTGCGATAACAGAAAAGAGAAAAAAGAAAAACAGAATTAACATAACAGCATTTTAAATCACCCGATATCACAACAGAGAAATTACATGATAAAATGTCTTCCAAGATATATTTAAAAGATTATTTTTTATTAAAATTAACATTGCAATCAGTACAACAGATTTGTAAAGTACAACGCAAATTTCCTTTTTTAAATCAATAAATAGTCAAATATATAGTCTCATATGTATGTTTTCTGGTTCCCGACAATTCAAAATAGTAACGAAAAATAAGCAGGAGCTATAATGAAAAAATATATTTAATAAACGATACTCACTCTTAAAATTTTACGCTGCTCTGGAGTAGCGCGATCGAGAGCTGTGACAACTAGCCACGTACATTTTCCTTCTTGTATATCAGTATTATCTTTGCCAAAGGCCTCGTAATGTCCGTAGCAAGCCAGATAATCATCTTGAGCTTGAAACAAACGTCCCATGTCTAACAAGATCTGTTTCGTTTGTCTGAACATCTCAGGGTCTTTTATTCCTACCTGCATCAAATCATCATCATGTAGTGCGTGCGATACAAGTCATAAAAAAACTGAACTTACTAAGTGCATTGCTGCGGTTACTGGCAAATAACATGTATAATACGCTGTTTTGCGCTCGGCCATGGAATTGTATCGATCCAACGTAAAGAAATCTACATTGGGCTTTTTATCGAAATTGCTGGAAAGCAAATCTAAGCACTGTCCCATTAATGTCTTATAGGTGACCTGCCGAAATGCTGTTATAAATAATGGTTCAATTAAAAAATGAAGAAATAGCTAGCTAGTATTTATATTTATGTAGGATCAAAAGGAAGATATCTTCACTCACATCATGAAATGTTTCTACTATATTAATGTAACATTCTTTTGTATTGAAATATTTTCGAATTATATAAAACATAGCTTGCTCTAATATTATTCCATCATTAATCGCTATTAATCCTACGTCGTTGTGTCGATACCAACAAGGTTGGCCTCGACGGAATAACGATCGATCTTCTATATCGTCAAGTATGAGCAGATAAGTTTGTAACTGTAAAAAAAATAACTATAAAAGTAAAAATCTTAATTATATATGTATAATGATTTATATGTATAATGATTTTAATTTAAATAGGTGATTACACACAATACACCATCACTATACACTATCATTTATTTTTGATAAATGCTATTAAATACATCCTGTGTTTGAATAATTTGAATTAATTTATGCAAATGAATTAATTTATATGAGGATTATAGTTATGTACCAATTCTATGCACCACGCTAAAATCCGTACCAAACGAACGTTATCTTCCGTAAGTTGATCATCAGATGCTAATAATTTGTAAGCATAAATTAATGCTAAACTACGAATTTTTTTTCCGTTTGGGACATTATACTGCAAAACCTATAAGAATCCGAAACACAGAAACATGAGTTTATATATTCATTTATATGTATGTCAATCTGCATATTTTGTTATAATTTTTTTCATTACAATTGTTTATATGTTAATAAAATAGTTTATTATTATAGTTTTTTTATTATTTTATTTAGTATTTTTATTTAGTGTTTAATATGTTAGTAAAAGTTTTCTTTTTTTTCTTTAAACTCTTACTAGTTGTATTTATTTATATAATTTCCTTTTATATATTTATTATTTATATTTTAAAAAATCGATGGTGTTTTAATTCTATAAAGTTATGCAATTGTCATAAGAAATTTTTTTTAGAGAAATTCAACTTTTATATTTGTAAATATATCACATTTTTAATATATTCATCATTTAATATATTCATCATTTTTAATATATTTCTGTATTTTCTAACTATTCTGAAGGAAATAACTTTAAGATCAAATTTTAACACATTGTTTTTAATTATTGTTTGCTATTTTCACCAACAAGTACTTATTTACTTTTTTCATCCATATAGTAACATCCGGAATGTCTAAGTCGATCGATTCCGTAATATCACAGACAATACTCGGCCACAATTCCATCATCTTCAGAATTTCTTTATTATCTGTCATCCATATTGCTTCGGTTACGGAATTAGCCATTTGCAAGTTACAATATAATACTCTAAAATGTAACAAACATTAGATAATGTATGATAAGTAATAATAATAGTAGTAAGTATTAATAATTTATGTAATTTCATAAAACTTTAATATTGCAATAAATCACAGATCAATAATTTAATAATAAATAGTGACAAAAAGATGTTGTTAACTGGACATTTTTGATATCATTAAGTGTTTCTAAATTTTATATCTCACTGATTTGATTAGAAGAAGAACTTCTTCAGAAGAATAGTAGATCAAAAACTGAAAGTAAAAGTTTATTCTTTGCTTCAATATATATATACTGCTGCGTTGAATAACAATGCATATGTATACTCTTTTTATAACAAAGTGTGTTACGTTGTTATTGACAGAGGGTAAATAAATTTTTTTTAAGAAAATTTGATTGCATTAATATTAATAGCTTATAAAATTAACTTAATCAATTAAAAAATTGCACGAAAAGAAAATTTAATGTAAAATTTATTTAAAGTTAAATCTGTATTAACTTCCACATGGTTAATCAATGATTTATTATTATATTTAATAATGATAATGATATAAAAAACTTTTATAAAAATTGCTTAATCATTGCATAGTTTCTTTTTATAGTTAAAGATAATATGTTTCTTGACAAAAATTAAATATTAAATATTTTTTTATATATAATACAATATTATTCACAAAACATAATTTATTACATATATTAATAAAAAATAAAAATACTAAATACTTTAAAAATTTTTTATGGTTTTATAAATAAAGTAAAATATTATTTTTATAAATTATTAATTATTTCTACGCCTTTAATAACATATGAATTTTTTAGATGACTTTCAGTCGCTTCCATGACATCATGAACAATGTTTCACACTGTCATAATCTCTTGTCTTTCTTTCTTGCTTATTTCAGACATAGCTGAGTTAGTGATTATAAATCAAATTTAAAATTTTCACGAAAATTATAAAATATAGGAGTAAGCAGGTAACAATATTGATTTTGTCTTTACGAATAAAATTTTGATACTGTATAAATTGCGAAACAACAATGGAATAACAAATGATAAAAACTGACGATTTTCGTATTTATATTTATATGTTTCATTTTGGTATTGTTTAATTAGTCACTTTATTTTCTGTATTTTAATTTGATAAGAGCTTTTTCGGAGAAGGGAAAAGAAGGCTTAAAAACAGAATTAAACATAACTACTTTTTTCTTTGATGTTTTTTATTTGAAATATTGCACATACAATACATATGTATATTTTTCTTACAGACTAAAACGACAGAACGACCAAACATCATTGACAATTTGCGTAGGTGTTATCTAACTGTCAAAAAATTTTTTATTTTTATAAAAATTCTTTATATGCATTACATAATTCGTCCTTATATATAAAATTAATATCTTACTTGATAAAAACCTTTATTAAATATCTATTCTATTAAAAAAAATTTTTACTGAATAAAAAATATGATAAGGAATATGATATTTCATGCTAAATTATTTGTATAGCAGAGATTGACAGATGTATCTGTCTATTTACATGCAGAGTGTATCAAACAGTTAAAATTACTGAACAATTGAACCACAAATATGATCAGTAAGTACTCAACAATGAAATGCTTTTATGACTTTCTATGATAAATTTCCTCTAATAAATCTAAGAAAAGATTACGTAGAAGTTCGCATGACATCTGCCGTATACGACCAATTAATAAATTGTATGTTTGTTCTTCGTATGTTAAATAAATGTTCGGCAGATTCATATCAATGAAGAGTTGTTTGACGCGTCTTACTTTCTCCGGATCCGAAAATCCATAACATTCCTGCATAACAGAAAAAAAAAAAAGAAGAACAGAATTAACATAATAGCATTTTAAGTCACCCGATATCAGAGAAATTACACGATAAAATGTCTTCTAAGATATATTTAAAAGATTATTTTTTTATTAAAATTAATATTTGCAATCAATACAACAGATTTGTAAAGTACAAGGCAAATTTCCTTTTTTAAATCAATAAATAGTCAAATATAGTCTCATATGTATGTTTTCTGGTTCCTGACAATTCAAAATAGTAACGAAAAATAAGCAGGAGCTAATAATGAAAGAATATATTTAATAAACGATACTCACTCTTAAAATTTTACGCTGCTCTGAAGTAGCGCGATCGAGAGCTGTGACAACTAGCCACGTACATTTTCCTTCTTGTATATCAGTATTATCTTTGCCAAAGGCCTCATAATCTCCATAGCAAGCCAGATAATCATCTTGGGCTTGGAACAAACGTCCCATATCTAACAAGATGAGTTTTGTTTGCCTGAACATCTCAGGATCTTTTATTCCTACCTACGTCAAATATCGTGTTGCAGTGCGTGCGTCACAAGTCATAAATAAACTTAATAACATAATAAGTTAAGTGAACTTACTAAGTGTATTGCTGCAGTTACTGGTAAAATAAACGTATAATACGACGTTTTGTACTCGACAATGGAATTATATCGATCCAACGTAAAGAAATCTACATTGGGCTTTTTATCGAAATTGCTGGAAAGCAAATCTAAGCATTGTCCCATTAATGTCTTATAGATGACCTGCCAAAATGCTTTTATAAATAATTGTTCAATTAAAAAATGAAGAAATGCTAGCATTTACATTTATGTAGGCTCAAAAGGAAGATATCTTCACTCACATCCTGAAATGTTTCTAATATATTAATGTAACATTCTTTTGTATTGAAATGTTTTCGAATTATATAAAACATAGCTTGCTCTAACATTAGACCATCATTAATCGCTATTAATCCTATGTCGTTGTGTCGATACCAACAAGGTTGGCCTCGACGGAATAATGATCGATCTTGTATATCGTCAATTATGAGCAGATAAGCTTGCAACTGTAAAAAATCTTAATTGATGAATAATGATTTTAATTTAAATAGGTGATTACATACAATACACTATCTGATTTTAATAGAGCTATTAACTAAGATGTTACGAGACTAAGATGTCTTGTGTTTGAATAACTTGAACTTAGTTCATGCAAATGTATTAATTTATATAACGAACGAAAGTTATGTACCAGTTCTATGCACCATGCTAAAATCCGTACTAAACGAACGTTATCTTCCGTAAGTTGATCATCAGATGCCAATGATTTGTAAGCATAAATTAATGCTAAACTACGAACTTTTTTTCCGTTTGGCACATTATATTGCAAAACCTGTAAGAATCCGTAACACAAAAGCATATTCAGTTATATGTATGTTAGTCTGTATATTTCATATTTCATTATAATTTTTTATTATAGATTTTTATAAGTTAGTAAAATACTCGTGATTGTTTCCTTTTCTACAAACTCTTATTAATTCTACTTATTTATATGCTTTTTATCTGTAAACTTCAAAAATTCGATAATGTTTTATTTCTATTTATACAATTGTTGTTGTAAGAGAATTTTAAGTTTAAACTTATTCGTAAGTAAAACGTATTCGTAAATATGTCATGTAATTTTTTTTATTTTTCAGTATTTTTATCTGTTCTGAATGAATTTGTTTCAAGACGAATCAGTTAATTCGTAATGATTAAGTTATATTTTAACCACATAATTTTTGACTACCACATCATATTTGATATTTCAATTAATAAGTACTTACTTTTTTCATCCATAGAGTAACGTCTGGAATGTTTAAACTAATCGATTCCGTAATATCATGAACAATGCTCGGCCACAATGCCATCATCTCATGAATTTCCTCTTCATTTGTCGATCGTACAGTTTTAATCACAGAACGAGCCATCTGCATGATCTAACTTGGTAACTTGTAAAATTCTAACAAATATTCGAAAATGTAATATGCGATAAACAACATAGCGACGATTATATCATTCTATAAATAAAATACTTAATATTGCGATAAATTATGAACGATAAATTACGAACCAATATGTCATACAATCTCTGACACCGTTTGTGTCCAGACTCTTTTACGTTTTACATCTTATTGAAGTTTGTCAGAGCTTTTTTAAAGGAGTTGATGAAAGAAAATGCATAAAATGTGGTTCTATTCTTTGCCTTGACTTGTATATACGTCCCACATTGAATAACAATACATATTTTTTTCTTTTCATGACTAACAAAGCGTGTTACTCATTGTCAATCCGTTTTATATATTTAGATATAATTTTTATATATTAGATAATCTTTTATTTATTGTAGAAACGTTAAATTATCATTTTGTATAACATATTATTAGCTAGAAAATATTAATTACAAAATGAAATAAACATTGAATATAAATGTTGCCGCACAATTTAATATTAAATTTATCAACAAAATGTGAATATATTTATTAAAGAAAAAAAATATATCCAAAAACTTTTATATTTTCATATTGCTATATACGTGTATATTCTATTTAATTATATGTTTTTGTAATTTTTGTAATATTTATGTATCGTATTTTTTGTTAAAATACATTATATAACGTATTCTTGCATATAAAATTAATATCTCTTTTAATAAAAAGTTTTAATAAATTTTTTAAAAAAAACTTTTTATAAAGTATGATTCTGCGTACAATGCAGGAAGTATTAGGACTAGGAATAAATAATTAAATTTTAGAAACAAAGGTTCAGAATAAAAATTAAACAACGCACAATGAATAAAAATAAATATAAGATATGACTATATTTTATACTTATTTATATTGTACATTTAACAATATAGCACATTTATAACAATATAGTGTTATATATCAAGTTGTTGTGGAAAAATTTTTATTTGTCTGTAAATCTTTTAATGAGAAACTCTTGCCATTTTCGAATTGTTTAAGAAATCGGATACAATTTTAAATCTCAGCTTTATATCAAAAACATTAGCGCATCGACATTATCGTAACTTTTAATTATCGTGATTATGATTTTTGCATGTCCATTGTAGCTTTGCGAGTTAGCGCGAAACTCGTAAGCCAGAGGTCTCGGATTTAAATCCCGATCCCAACCGATAATATTTGCAAGCAACGACGCTTCTCTACAGAGGTCTGTCAAATCGCTTAGAGTAACTCTGCCGAGAAAAATTCCTATATTGGCCGTCTGGAACCAGCTGTAGATTCCATATATCCATATTGTTAACACGAATATATGCAGGGATAGCCGAAAGGCATCAGATAATGTCGAAAGACGTTCTAAATTGGCTTATAGGTAGATAGATTAAAAAAAAAGAAGTCCAAAAAAAATTATTGGACTCGTTCCCTTCAATGAATATCGATGAAATTTTTAATGAGTTTTCTCATTAACTCAGATGAGGCTTGCTATTCTCAATCGTCAATTTATGGTGAAAAACTAGCAAGATTTATGCGAAACAACATTATCCAAGAAATCTGCAAAAACAAAAAGAATATAAAGGAAATGATTGATATTAAGAAATATATTAATGACACGACCGCAAAACGAAACGAACGATGAGAAAACTTTGTCAGATCAATTTTCTAAAGAAGGAATAACGCCAGAGCAATTGAGCGACGATTAAAATATTTGGTGGATAATAGAAATGAAAAAACCCATCCATAGGTTTTACCACTAAACTTTGAAACTATGTCTTTCTACCGAAAATAATTATATTGAAAAGAATTACAAACAAAAGTTGAATGATATAACATCTATTTTTTAATTTCATTTTTTTCGTAAATAACACGATGCAGTTGCAATTGCGAAATCTTTTAATATTATTACCTTTGTATTCATATAACAATATTTCGTACAATAGCTTTTTTTGTAACAATTCTATATCTGTCATGATTTTCATTTTAATTATAAAAATATTTTTCGACAAATTAATATTCTAACAATTATGTCCAATTAGTACTCCGTTTTAACACTTTTAATGATTTAATTTATTATACATTGTAGGAAATTGGATAAGAAATAATAATATCTTATGTTTCAGTTTCTTTTTGATTTTATTAAAGAGATATATTCTTCCCTGTACATAAAATTTTATAAAATTTTTTAGATATTGTTCACTTTGAAATAACATTTCATCATTCTTCGGGACAATGACAAAACACATCCTGTTTCACATTTCTTTTTAAAGTTCAAATTTATTAAGGATTAATGCATTAGACTATTTCTGTTATATACACGGTACTTTAAACAACTCTGCGATAAAGCTTTCCTAATAAATCCAAGAAAAGACTGTGTGGAAGCCCGCGTGATATCTGTTGTATATGTACATTTAGTAAATTATATGTTTCTTCTTCGTATATAGAATAGGTATTTGGCAATCCCAAATCGATGAAGAGCTGCTTCACACGTCTCACTTTTTCTGGATCCGAAGAGCCATAACATTCCTACATGATAAGAGAGAAAATAATAAGAAAAGGATTAATATATAATAACATTTAATGAAAGAGTGCTTGTAATAAATACACGATACACACTTCCAAAATTTTACGTTGTTCTGGAGTAGCCCGTTGAAGAGCTACCACAACCAGCCACGTACATTTTCCTTCTTCTATGTCAGTACTATCTTTACCAAAAGTATCGATATCTCCAAAGATAGCTAAATAATCATCTTGGACTTGGAACAAGTGTCCCATTTCTAACAAGATGGTTTTTGCTTGCCTGAACATCTCTGGATCCTTTATTCCAGCCTATATTTAACATGTCATTATTATCATTATTAAAATATTTATGTATTTTCATGTGTAACAAGGCTTATGTATACTTACAAAATACATTGCCGTGATCACTGGTAAGATAAATGAATAATGTGACGTTTTGTATTCGACAATAGAATTGTATCGATCCATCGTAAATAAATCCAGATTGGGCTTTTTGCCAAAATTGGTAGAAATTAAATCTGAACATTGACCCATTATTGTCTTCCACATTATCTATCAAAATATTATATACATAATTGATCGATTAAAAGGAAAAAAAGAGATAAACTGGCTATTAACATGCATATTAGGAAAATATTTTCACTCACATCTTGGAATGTTTCTAGTAGGTCAACATAGCATTCTTTTCCTTTGAAGTGCTTTCGAATTAGATAATACAAAGAATTTTCTAACATTAAACCATCGTTCATTGCCGCTATACCCAAATCGTTGTATCGATACCAACATGGCTGGCCTCTACGTAATAACGATCGGTCTTGTATATCATCAAGAAGGAGTAGAGAAGCTTGCAACTGTATAAAAATAAATATTATTATTATTATAATGTGTAATATTTTGTACATTTAATCCAAATAACTTTTCACATAATATGCTTTGATTTAAATAAATATAATAAATTAAAATATTGTCTTGTACTTCAGTAATTCGGTCTAGTTTATGAAAAATATTAGTATTTAACGAAGTCACGTACCACTTCCACGCACCATCCTAAAATCCGCGCCAGACGAATATTATCCTCTGTAAGTTGATTATTCGATGCTAGTAACCTGTAGGCATAAACTACGGTTAAACCTCGAGTTTTTTTTCCTCCTGGTACGTTGTACTGTAATACCTAAACAAAAGAGATATTTTTGTATTCATACTAATTTATAGATTTGACTTGTCATATTTGTATTTTAATCAATAGCAACTTACTTTTGCCATCCATTTATGAACGTCGGGAATGCCTAAATTTTTAGGCCCATCTGTGAGATCGCGAACAACGTCCGGCCATAGAGCCATCATCTCTCGACTTTCATCCTTGGTTGTTACCCATGGTTGTGTTACGGAATGAGTCATTCGTACATTATGGTCCAATAATCTAAAAATTTAACGAGCTTCAATTAAAAATTGTGATAATGTGACAATGTTGAGATACCGTTTACAAGCGGACAAATAAAACCGCAATATTGTAACAAATTATAAATGAAAAGAATCATTGAACAATTAAAAATAGAATTGGATAAAGCGGATATTGTTGATTGAGTTTATATTCTACGTTCTTCCTTATATCTTTATAAACAAGCTCTTTCTAAAATAAGTAGAAAACGCAACTGAAAATATTCTTATTCTTTACTCCTTGTATACATTAAAATAACAATATGCAGGACTACAAATATATTTCTTGTGATGTCTGTATTCATGTAATTATCATGTAGAGATGTTAAAATGGTTTTTAATTTAGTTCCTCGTTGTTACTTGTTACTTTTCGCACGATATATTATCATGTAAAAAAATCACACGTATATAAAATCAATTCTCTGATCTATTTTGTTATGTTGTATTCAATCGATATTTAATTAGTCATCGAAATTAATAATAACTCTGAGGAGTGATTCTTTGCTGAAGATCTGACATCGTGGTTCATTATATTTTAATTATGTTATTTAAAAACATTAGATAATCTAAATCTTAATTTTATTTCGATAACCAGAATCGAATATCGATTGAAAGCATAATAAAACGGATCAAAAAATTGATGTAAATTTATACTTAAGATGAATGCAATCTCGATGATTTTTGCATCCAATGAAACATTTATTAAATTCAACATTTATTCGGAGGAAGGACAAATAGTCTTAAATAATAACTCGAGTTGCTAAATCCTAAGTTGTTAAACTTCACAATTTATCAAGTTGCTAAACAACAAATAACATTGATCCAGAGATGAAATAAAATTTCTCGATAAAATCGCACGTCAGTAAAAATTTAACATTTAAACTTTGTTTTTACATTTACATTTCCAATGTAAACTTATTTATTTACATGCATATTAATAGCACAGCTATTAATTTCTGAGGCATTAAATTTTCGAATCCTTACTGCGGAGATGCAGCAATCGGAATAAACACATAAGATCATGAAGGTCATCAATCGCAACATGTTACGTGAATGCATCAACGCAATTTAAGTGAATTGAAGAGGAATTTATCAAGATAAAAGAGTAAGAGAAATTATTTAATTATTAGATTTATATAGAAATATTGATTTGTAGAATAATTTATTCTCTTGAGTATACATCGCCAAGAAGAAGGGAATTTATTTCAAAATTATAGTCGAGAAGCTAAATAAAACCAAGAATTCTACGTCAAGTGTGAAAGTTCGATCGAAACCTGTTTTCCAAAGATATATTCATAAGATATATTCAATCTCATTGGAATGTAATTATCGTAAATCTATTTAAATCTTATTCGATTGATCGTTAACACTCTATGGGAAAATCTTTACGTAATTTAATAAAATGTTTCAATCTCTCTAAATATGCTTTATCGTGAAAAATTTCTTGCCGAATAATATACAAAGCTCCAAAAAAATCGAACAATAAAGTACACATAAGCAACTGTAATGTAAAAACTCTGCGTTGCGTTAAATGCGCTGTTAGTCTCATGCATATATTAGTTCAGATCATTTATTAGTATCAGATTCATTTGCATTAGCAATTTGATCTATTTACGTTCTAATTGCATTTTTCAAGGTAACTGACAATTCCAAGGCGTTATGCTATTTCCACTGCATTAGGAAATAACATATGTCAAATGATATCATACAATACATTCATATAATAATGCAATGTAATGATATGAATCAATCGCTAAATTAACTTTAACAATGTTAATTTAGCGATTGATAGTTTAAAATTGTGCATTTGTCGAACACGAAACCAATTCCTATTTAAAGAAAATTTCACTCCACACTTTTGTAAAGTAAAATATCCTGATAATTATATAATAATATATTGATTTAAAATTCTGGATATGTAAAATTCTACTTACGAGTTTAAATAATTTGCAGGGAGGAATAAAATAATTGAATAAGAATTAGTTCGTTTATTAAAAAAAAAAAATTCTACTAAGAAATGAATTTCATATTTAATTTTAGAAGTATTTAATTTTAGATGATTGAAAGATTTAAGAAATATTAACGCTATAATAAACGCATAATAAAATATAATCTCAATGTGCATAAAAAACATCGTCCAACTGTACTAATATTTTTTTTTTTTCACTGCAATCGCATTGTATGTAGTTACAACTGAATGGAAATCGTTGTTGTTCTTTGTACATATATAAGAAAGAAAAGATCGCTTCTTGCCAACAAGTCATCGCGAAGAATAACTAACAAAGATGCTTTTGCTGTCGCTGTTTGTTTATATTTTACATTCTTATCGTTTTAATAAAGATTATTAGTTTCTCAGAACGATGTCAATAATCTTGCGAGTGAGTGAATGTGTAAATGTCGAGCGAGAGGATAACAGGCATTATGTCGCGAATGCAACATAATGTTAACAATGCCAGAATTATGAATCACCTTTCCGCACCATATGATAAAAATAATCGTTCTTGTATATCACTGTCTACATAGACTGACGTATGGAAATTTGACGTATGTAAATGCAACTTCAATCTTACATTCACAATGCAAAAAATGTCTTTCGCGAATGCTCAAGTGATAGTTACAAAGCAAGAAAACCAAATAGAAATATAAATAAAACTAATATTTATTTATATGTTTTGTAATGATGTCACAAAAATAATATCTTCGAAAATAATTTTTGATAGATACGTTCCCAGACAGCACAAAGATTCGAGTCAAAATCGAGACATGAGACTTAAACGTCTGAAAAATATTTTAAAGGTAACTTTGTAAAAAACATCTAAAAAACGTCTAAGAGATAGGTCTAAAAGATGTTTTTTAGATGTCCCGATTTTGGACTTTGCGTTGTTGAGTTGTTACGACAGCACATAATAAAAAATTTGAATTATTGCATAAACTTGATGTATACAACCGTTCATAAATTTCTCAGTCTCCTAAAATAAAAAATATATACTTTCGCGTAACTTTTTATTTTGCAAATATAACTAATTTGGTCTTTTTTAATAATAAAAAATATCTTTTATAAAATATCTTTTAAGATGCTGATTTGAAAACAACTACAATTTAATTTTATTTTAATTCTTAGAATGTCCAAGAACTTATAAAACATGAAAAAAAATTTATATTACAAGATAAAAATTCACTCAACTTCTTTTGTCAAAATAAGAAGGAAGAAACGAGATTTTCAAAATTGTATTTCGAAAATGGAATTACGTGGAACTTTTAAGATATGGTATACATCAAAATTCTATATATAGAAATATTTATAGTTAGGAATATCTATTCGCGCTTTTTTACGCGCACAGGAAAACGGAAGTCCAAGGTTGAAGTGATGGACTTGTCATTGAGTCGTTTTCCAATATTAGAACCTTTGTTTGCTCGTCGTGCAATAAAAGAGTGCTAATGAGAACGAGTAACGCACAAAAGGTAAGCTGAAATTTACTTATCTATTCGACTCCAACGTTCCACGTGATAAATACCACGGCATAAATACGAACATGCACATTGCAAATCATACGCGTTATTGCTTGCGGAGGGACGAGGGAACGAACGTAAAAGCGGAGTAAACAATTTTATCAGATCTAACAAGATGTGCTGCGAGAATATTCGATGTATTGTGAATTTCTCTCGAGAAACGCGTAATATAAAAATAACTTTTGTTTTGTAACACATGCCCATCCTTATCACCGTCATGAGTCATGAGGTTCACTTGATTGCTTTATCAAAACTTACGTACGCATATGTACAAGAGCACATTTATACTGTAAGGATTTAATAAAAAATAATAAAATTAATCTACCTGCTCTTGAAGAGCCTGCTGCTTGATATTCGCGTGTAAATGAATCGGATCGAACAAAAATTCAAAACAAGTTTCAAAAATTAAAAATTCCTACTTATCAATCTCTTGAAGAATAATCAATTTATTTCCCGATTATTTTATTTCGATGTAATTTTAACTGTATACAAGTAAGTATTATTAAATCTATTCTGTCTGATCTAGTCTGATTGTATAGTGGTATCTAACATATGGTGTAACCACAGTTGTTATCTATCCGATTTTTGACTAAGTGCACTGTTTTTTCGGATAAATTTCTGGTTAGTCGTTCCAAATTTTAATGATTTTCATAAAATAAATCGATTAATTTTTTTAGAAAAAATATGTAATTAATAATTATTAATCAAGTTTTAATCAAGTATAATATGTAATTATACATTACATATTTTTTAACAAAAAAAGATCATAAAATATAACAATATAATACAAAATATTTAGAAGATTGTGTGAAATTCCGGACGTTCAAAATTATCTCAGACGACCTGAAAAAAAAAAAATGTCCGGGAGGAGAAAAATAACAAATGACAATTTTATCTATACATCAAAAAGTCCCGATAAATTCGAAAAGAATTTTGTTATCTCTTTACAGATTTCGAGAAAGTAGTTTGAACACTTTACGTGATTCACTCTGGATAACATAAATATACATAACACTAAAAATAAATAAAATAACGCTAAAGAATTTTTAAAAAATATTTGGAGTATAAAAGCATTCTCAATTGTGAACTTTATTGAAACAAAAAACTCGTGAAAGCTTAACGATCTAATTAATCTTGAAAGTATTTTTATAAACAGATATATGGAAAATTTGATCGACCAGATACGTGGAAAATTTTATTTTAATCAAGTAACAAAGTTTTATTTCCACTGATCATTTGAGACATCCGACGTGAATGCAGAAGAGCATTTGAAAATCTAGATTTTCCTTCGGAACCGTTCGATCGATCTTTATGAATCGTCTTCGTTTCAAGAACGATCTGTTCATCGCACGTTTGTTGATAATCGTATTACCGTTTCAAACTTGCGTGCCGTGAAAAGTCAACAAGGGATTCAGCGCACAACGTGTGTTCGTAAAACACGCTTTCCACTCTTACAATTAGTACGGAACATATTTTCTTGTCCGAGAGAAATAGAAAAAAAGAAGACAATCATCGAATTATGCAAATCATTTTGTCGTTAATGACTCGCACGACGATTACGTAAGGAAATGCTAATGAAACAACGTCGATCGAGATCCGTTTTATTAGATTTGATCAGAAAAACGACGATGCGTCACACATTTTCTTGCAAGATACTTGTAAAATCAAAGGTTCTAAAGCAGAAATTAATCTTTGATCAAAGTGGAATATGTTCTAATGTCCAAATGTTCTAATGTTAATATAGACATATATTAACTTTAATCTCGGTTTAACTTTTTTATTTTTCTTTAATTCTAAGAATTAGAAAAGAATAAAAAATAAATTAAACCGGGATTAAAGTAATTTACATTGGTAGAAATAGATATAAAACCTGTTAAACAATTTTTATCCAATATTGTTCACCAATAACATTTCTTGTTTTTGTTTTTATATTAACAAAAAAAAATTTCTCTTTCCCCCCTTTTTGTGGATTTTATTATATCTTCCTTGAAAGTCATCGAAATTCGTTATTTTTGACGAATTACGTATTTTCTCCGTAAAGATTATTGACAGAATAGTCGACTACTTCGTCTCAAAGATTTTCGCCAGAAGTTTAAAACCAAGTTTAAGTTTCTCGTTTTCCGCCGATTAAAGAGAACATTCTCTCAGACGAGATCTTTATTGCTGCAAATTCTATTTTATCAAAGAAAATAAAGATGTTTCTAAATCGCAAATTGCTCGAGCAATGTTAGAAGACGCGCCCTGTGTGTCCTTTCCATTCTTACCTCCAGCACGCCGCATTCCCGCGGTATGCGGGCGAGCACGCGCGGCGCCGAGCGCCCATGCCTGCAACGTGCGCGCGGTCGGCGCCGACGGCGCCGGCGACGGCGAGACGTCGCGCGGCGCCGAGCGTCGACAGGAACCGGTTTCGCGTGGCGGACATGCCCGGGTTCCCGCTGGAGCACACTCGCGTAACCCGCGGGAGGCTATTCACATGCGCGCGCGCGTGCGAGCGAGCGACGAGGGAAACACCGCCTCCCGGCTCGAGATTCACGGGAACCACGAGAGATCACGAGGAAACGCGCTCGACGAGGACGCGCGGAATCTGGCACTCCGTAGTAGCCGGTCGGTCGTTTTGACCGGAGGGGGAGAGGAAAAAAGGCAGAAATGATAACAGAGAATGAGGGACAGAGGGACAGAGGGAACGAAGGAAAGAAACGGAAAAGATAACGGGTGAATTGACGTAGCGACGACAGCCGAGCTGTCCGATTAGAAGAGGAGAACGGTCGTCGATTCGAACTTCGACACCTCAGGTGTCGTGTGGTCGCGTCACTGTTTTACTCTACACGCTGGAGGCCAGGCTGCTCGACTTTATACGGCCTGCCCTGGCGCGCCGGAACTGTTATATACATTGCTGATTATACCATGGACCAAAGAATCATATGGTTGGCACGTCTCTACGTGAAAGTCGTCATTTACGATTAGTGATAAGGGGAGAAGAGGGGAATCTTGGTCGGCACTTCGGTCAAGTTCGATCGCGCGCTTCGGACGTGTCCGTAATCTTAATATAAATAAAACCAGCGGTTCTCAACCTGAAGTAAGATCTCATTCTGAAGGTTGAGGGAATGCCGAATTATAACATTGCTGTTTTGCTTTTATTGCGACTTTACTATTTCTTTTTAATATCATCGAAAAGATTATTAAAAAATCGACAATCTCATCATAGGAATTCGCATGGCTATTAAAATTTAAATAATTAGCCTATAATATAGATTAGTTTTATGATCTATTATTATTCTGATGTTTCTTAGATATATATGCATATTTATAATTTGATATTTAATTTCATCTAAAACTGCATCTTACAGTTATCATCTGTATTTTATTAGTGTAATTATCATCCATAGAAATAATATAAAAAAATTGTAATTTTGCAGCATTATGGTATAACATATAGCATTACAAGTATGCATACTTATTTATGAAGCAGTTGTATAATAAAAAAATATGAATTTTATATGTTATCTATGCAAATGATTACAAATTTATGTTAATGGTTGATAATATTAATGCTTAATCATCTCTAAACCTTTTAGATCTCTTTGATGGTCACAAAAATTTGCTCAAGATTTAATAATGTCGATTATATAAATGAATTAGCAACTCTCAATCTCAAATTACTTCCAACGATTATTCTGAAGATATGAAAATACTGAATCACCATCCATATGCTGTTTGTCTTTATATATTTTATCACAGACTTGCTATTTTTTTTTCATTTTACATTTAATGCAAAACACTATCGTTTTAGCGGCAGTTTGGTAACACTCAACAAAACAATGGTTTCTGAAATAAAATGGTGAAAACAAAATAGATGAATCACATAAATGAATGACATATTTCCTTAAATATATAAAATACATAGACATTTTAAATACACCGTTCGCTACATATTTTCTGTACACTCTTCAACTTATTAAATTCATTATTTTGTTTCTACCATCCGTTATCATTTATTTGTTGAATGGTCTCTTGTTAGATGGTACTGGTAATCTATACTTTGCTAGCTCCACTTCAGCCTCCCCGAACGAATCTATGTGGTAGCAAAAGTACTCGGGATTTTTATATTCCATGTTTTTTGCGGCATTGGGTCCTACAGCTAAATAAGTTTTAAGTTCTAATCGGAATCCTTCTTAATAAACATTTTATAAAATTATCATTTAATCTTACGTGTATTTGGTACTTTGACAACATTCTCGCTGAGACCTGGGACGTTGCTATTCACCGTGGATTGACTAGTACTCGAAGCTTGTGCGCTGAATGTTCGTAAAGAAGCAATCGTTATATTCTGAAAACAATTAGAAAATTCAAAATTAGGTTAAATGTGTATAAATTCATTAACAGCTCATGAATAAAATATGATTTCGTTTTTTGATGTATACCTGCAACGGTATTCGTCTCGCAATTACGTGCAACATCTTGTAACAATTTAGTTAGGCTTACGTTACGAAACAATTGTAATATCCAAGATCTATAATGTCCTTATTATTATTCTTATTATAGTATCTCGTTGGTGATTAAATTCAAGGATTGCCAACCGTAAAACTTAAAACTGACTATATTTTGTTTTCCTATTCCATTTTCTGCAAAATATGGTTTATTTAAATAAAATATAATATTTTTAAATAATAATTAATACTTTTAATTAAAATAATTAAGAAATTATTTCTAAGTGCGTGGTACAGTATGACTAGAGATCGTACTATTCCTATATTCTTCTTTGCTTTTTCACTTATTTTATATGGTGAAATAATCACGTGACGTGAGAAATAAAGATCAAAAATGTCGACATGAAATGCTTTTACTGAGAATACTTTTACTTGAGAATACTTGACTTATATAAGAAACCTATTTTTTGTACAATTTAGCTTTCTTTCTTCTCTCTTCGTGTTGTAGAGAAAAAGAGAAAAAATGAATAATTATGCAACAAATTAAGCTGGAAAGAACAGACTTTATGCTTATTTCCATTTCTGCATTGGGCTGTCCTAAAACTTTCTATCTCTAACTTTGATCAAAATTCATATACTTATTTTATTTTAAGTACAATAAGTACATTCTAGTTCAGTTACAAAAAACAGACTAATAGCGAATTATACAGAAGTGTGTTCAAAAATAACACCCAAGTATATTCAGGCAGAGAGAAACCTCTCAGGTATCATTTTATCCTTATTTAACATTCGGTGGACAAAGATAAGATGATACATCCGATGTCTCTGACCCCCGTCCTGCGTTTAAAGTAACTTCCGAATACGCGATGTGATAACCTCACTTCGACGTACCACTGTTCATTTTATAGTAATTTGAATCGGCAAGCTCTGACTTACGATTCGTGGTATATACACGTACGTATGCATGTATATATAACCACCGACATTGAAGTTATGTCATATTTTCGATTAGGATATTTCTTTATCTCGGCGCTTCTCAACTTTCCACGAGATCGGAATATGTCGTTAATTCACAATAGAGATAGACTTTATAGACGTGTATAATTTGTGCGAAGCACGCGACGAAATACGAGGCGATTGTCATTCGAGATCCAAACAGTAACTTCAATTATTATTATCTAACAATTATTCCTTCTGTGCTATATAATTTAACCTAATAAATAAGTTGGGATTATTTATTACCTTTCGATGGGATTTTCAAAGGAAAACGAAGAGGAAAACTTAACAATTGTTATAAATATGATATGTAGAGAATTAGGCCAATATTCTGAATTCACTTTTATCAATAAAAATGCTTTTGAAAATGGTTTACAGCTAATCAGAAAGCTTATGAATTACTTTTAGAGGCACTTTTATCACTGAAAGGATTCAGAATATGGGATTTATTAACATCAAGTCAAATTATGAATCCATCATATTTTATTCTGTGTTTATGTGCATTGCGTATTTGATAATGAATCATTGATTATAAATACTGAGAATCTAATAGGATTCTTTGTTAGGTATAATAATATAGAGCTTGTGTAAACACTTGCAAGAGAATGTTAATTTTTTGTTGTCAAGCTACTTATGATAATCATCATTTTGTTTCAGCCTCAACAATGTTAATAACTTATTTTGCTCAAAATTGGAAATACAGCAATGCTCCAGAAGGCCAAGCTCCATTCGAGAAAGTAGTTGGGCTGTGCAAATATGGATTTGCAGGTAGTTTTGGGATGGGCATGTACGATTGCATACTTTTGTCTCAGACACGTGGCTTCTGGAATACAATGAATTGCCTAGCTTTTTGGACGGTGCCTATCACTGCCATGTGCGCCACTTTCGCTTCTGTAGCATATACAACAACAAAACTTAGAGGAGGACAGGATGGCTATATTAATTATATTCTAGCCTGTATGTAATGTATGGACATGATGATGGAGTTTATCAGACATAAATTATCAAGTTTTGTTTACCCATTACAGCATTAGCTTCAGGAGGAGTCTTCTATCATTGGCAGAAAAATGGTAGATTGAGTTATCATTTTACTTTCTGGTTGACCGCATGCGCCATGGTTAAAAAATATGGTGACATGACTGGTTGGGTTCCCCTTCCAATTAAAGATGCAGACATACGAAAGCAATATACTACTTTTCCCCTTGATTTTACCCTTGTTAAAGATCCTAGGGGACGTAGGCCATGGGAGTAATATTTCATACATGGAAAAAAAATTTAGTGCTGTTGATACATAAAGTCAAGCGGGGATAAGCCATATTGTACAATTGATGCAAAGAAATAGGAAATGCGTATCTTTCGCTTTTATCATGTATTTATTCTGGTTCTAATACAGGAAATAAAAAGGAGTGTAAAAAGGACATTTATATTATGCTTAAAAGTATTATGTCAATGTCTCGCCTTTCGTGACCTGTTGGAAAAATACCATTATGGAATTATTAATGAATAAATGGAATGTAAATAGAAAATTTGATACATTATCAACGCTATGAAAGAAATGCTACCTTATGTTACATTATATAATTGAGAAACAAGTTGCTTTCTACAATTAAACTGAAAATTAATAAAAAATATAATCACTTACGCATGCTTCAAGATATTCAATTCTTCGTTCGAGAGTTGTCAACTTTTCATTGAGGACTGCTATCCTCGATCTACAAGACATATCTAACAAAAAAGAGATTATATTGTAATATAAAAGATTAAAGATATGCATATTAATTTTTGCAGAATTTTTGTGAAGATATTGGTACAATTTAATACCGAAAGAATTAAGGAAGTCTGTAATCTTCTTAATACTGCCAGTGATAACTTCTATATATTCACGGTTAGCCCAATCTTGTTGAATTTGTTTTTGTATCGCTTCCCTGTGTAGGGCCGCCATTCCTGTCTGGATGTCGCTATCGGAGCTCTTTCCCACGAGTCCCCTACTAAATTGCCGATGTAGTAAGGGGCAAGGAATATCCCCTGACACTTCTACTGCATTGTTTGGAATATATCAAATCACAGATTAACAAGATAAAGAATGAGTAAACCTGAGCATCAATTGATTTCAGAGGTCATGTGCGCCAAAAGTAAAAAATTCCTAATTTAGAACTATTGAAAAATAAATTCCCTATCCCATATTGTAACATGAACTTAAATCTTAGGCCTGTTTTTTTTGGCTGAACTAGTTGCACTAGTTCACAGTTTATCTTTCTTCTTCCAGTGTAAAAAAGAAAGATAAATTGTGAACTAGTGCAGCCAGTTTAGTTGAAAAGAACAGACCTCTTGTATTCATGATGCTTGTAATCGAGATCTCGAACGGAGAAAATATTGACCAATCGTATTGGCTATTTCGACCAAATATGATTGGTTAATTATTTTTGTTGAAATTTCGGATATATTTCGTGAATATAAGGCTTTAGGCTCTGCGCACTAGAGAAAAAATTAGGAATAGAAATAAATATTAAATTTTTGAAATGAAAATGAAAATCTGAATGAAGATTAAATGGACATAAGATATGATATAAGATATGGCTATATTTTATATCTATTTTTGCAATCAATTATAAACATTTTTAATTCACGAATTGTGAAAGTAAATGAAAGTGGTTATTTAATTCCAATATGATAAAATGAAACTTGGGGATGTTAATATGGGAATTTTGATGAATATTCTCACAAAAAAGTTCAGGATGGTCACTTTTCAAAACTTGCTGGAACTAAAATTTCTATAGTGCGTATTTTAACTGAAACCATCACTAGCGCCACTATGAGTACAAAATGTGCACATTAAACTACTTTGTCATGTCTACGAGTTTTTCAACGGATATCGAGCTATGGTTCTGTTCTATGTTATGCCTGAAATTTCTGATTCTATCCCATATTCTGTTTTAAGCGAGACCAAGTGTAGCTTATCGTTAATGGATATAGCAGTCTTCTTCACAAGTAATTGCGAATTTATTATATATCACTTCAGTTGTAAAAAGGAACTTTAAAAACAAAGACTGTAATGCAAAAAAATTTATTTTCTTTTTCAGCATAAAATGCTTAATAGAAACATGGGCAGAGGACAATTTAGCAGAGAACATCGATATTCGACTTCTTGCTTTGATTTCCATTTAGAAGATTTCCATCGTCAAGAAATTGTAGTAAAATTATATGTCTCTTGACATCGTAATGCATATTTATAACGAGATAAGTAAACATTAAAATAACAATAATATTATATTTATGTTATAATTTTTATGCTTAGCAATAGTAATAGTAACTGTTACAACATGTGTTATGTTTATATTGCTGAATGGGAAATTATAACATTATTATTAATGTAATATCACAATTAGTTTTTAAGTTTACTAATTAACTATGTAATTGAAGTTTAATTCGCTGTTTTTTATCTCCTTCTATGCGACCTCGAAACTTTAAACTCGATAAGTAATTAAAAGTTGATTAAAATTTTTTTATCTTTTCTTCTTATCTTTTTTCAGAAAGAAATATTTATATAAAAAAGAAAAAATCTTATCTGTGATATACAAAGGTGCATCGAATAATTTTATAATTATATATATCTTTATTTATTTTAAATAATTGTAATATATAAATAATAATATTCATAATTTATAAATTACAAAGAAATGATTTAAATTAATTGCAAGGAAATATAGATTGCAAACATAAACTGATTTAATTACAAATTTTTAATAAGAGATATATACATACATATTTCAAAAATATATTTTAAAGTTCATAATGATGTTGCATATTTTGTTTCAAGTAGATTTAACAAGAAAATATTTTCATATTTTTTGATATAAAATTATATTTATATCTATCAGAGTTAAGTATAATATTAGAAACGAAATATGTAGTTGTAAAATTATTATGTACAATAAATTTTCTTAATCTCTCTTTCTCAATCTCTTTCAGCTGTATTTATTGATTAGACAGGAGGGGATGTTTTTTTCTATGGACAGTGAAAAATTATCTGCAACGGGCGTCTATTAAGATTGAAATAAATAAAATATAATTACAAACATCGAGTAAAGAAAGTTTCTTCTTGAATTACATTTATTTATTACTATCGTGCTTGTTTGTGCAATTATGAAAGGAAGGAAGCGCAGAATTCGTTGCATTAGTCGCAGTAAAGCTGGACTTATCATGATGAAAAGCTTTTGGCGAAAAATTTGTCAATTTTACGTTTTTAAAAAAAGCGTGTAAAATCGATGCTTGCTTCTATTGATCGTTTCTTCTTCGTGATGCAAATTGATTATTTCCATACATTTCGTTATTTTATTCGTTTTGAATTACCGATCATCGCGCGTTTTAAATTCACGCATTAAAGTAAATTGTTGCCGTTTTATTAATAATATAAATGATACGAGTGAACAGATAACAACGATATTATTAATTTCCTAATGGAACCAATATCAAAGATAAAAGGCGAACATAACACATTTGATGTGTGTGTGTGTGTGTGTGTGTGTGTCTCTCTGTGATGTCTGGTAATTATAAATTGCGACACATCGTACTGCAATTGAACAATAACAAATAGCATATCTTTGAAAATATTTTAACAGTTTTTCAAGAGCACATTCTTTCTTTTATAAAAGAATATTCCTTTTCTTTATATTTTATATTCTTAATTCTATAGCTAATCCTTCATGGAGAATTCGCAGACGGAGAATTCGATAGACGGACGAGTAGACGGAAAGATCTGACTTCTTGAAATAGAATTTGAACGAAGAAAACGACGATGTTACAAAGTTTAAAATATAATTGCAGATGTACCTGTTCTATATTATCTCGCTGTATTGACGAATACAATAATGCATGATATTGATCGACTCGAAATTGAAAAGATTTAGTTCACTTTAAAATACACGATAAATAAAGCTCATACAGAATGACATTATAATTGTCAAACGACTATTGCATTTATTGCAAATGCATGCAATATGGATGTGTTACAATGTGTCGCTTTAATGTATCATGCTCTTTATGACTCACTTAACATGATTTATAGCTTCTCATCATTTTGGCACAAGCATGTCAAGATGATGAGAGAAGCTATAAACTTCATTTTTCTTTCACGCAATAGTAATGAACGTCAGAAATTTCAAGAGCTCTCATTCGATAGTAAGATTATATGACGTATCTTGAAGATAAAAATGGCAATATTATTTAATGAATCCAAAATAGAATTAATATTTGCGCACTAAACTCTTGTTTTATTCATTCCGAAATCTGCATTTTATCTTTCATCTGAACTTTGTATTTATAATACATAAAAAGATCCACGCAAAAAAATAAAATACAAAATATATTGTTGCAAAAGCAGTTTCGAAGAATAAAGCATTAAATTAAAATTTTCATTATGTTGGAGAAAAGGATATTTACATTTGGAAAACAAATGCAACGATGGTTTACATATAAATGATTTAATGAATTAATTACTGTTATATTAATTTCAGGATTTATAGTAATACTATACAAATAATTTGTATTAAAATGTAAATAGATCGAATGAAATAAAATCTTAATTGTTATGTGCATTTAACATCTGCAATATATATATGGGTCTATTATATTACATATTTTGAATAAAGTATCTATGTACGTTGAACAAAGCATCCAAAGATCGAACGTGAATAAAAAGAGCATCAAATTCTTGAAATTTCTGCATAAAGAATCAATAATACGATGAAGCATGAATGCACAATAAGCACGAGAAAAATTGCATGAATATTCGGTCCATTTTAAATGATCTATACTTTTGCGTCGGATTTTAAAAGCATTTTACTTAAAATTTCGCATTTTTATGTTTGTATATGCGTACTGTAATTAATATATAGATACAGATCTAAATATATATAATATTTAAACTTTTTTTAATATTTTTATATTATACATATGATACATAAAATTATAAATAAATCTTTATGTTGTTTATTAATTATTATATTAAGATCTTTCAATCTTATTTTTAATTATTACTTATTTAATTATTAATTATTATTTTATTAATAAATAAATTTAAATTATTAAGCAATCTTTTTGCCGAATAATATTTAAACAATGTATTATTATATAATTTTTTTATCTGTATTATTGTATCATTTTTTAAAATTTCTTTTGTAAAAATATAATAGAGACAAAACCATTATGAATTTTTTTCCAATATTGATATAATCATTTATTTTTAATTAATATGCTGATATGAAGGTTTTTATAATATTCTCTTTGTTTAATTATCATATTTAATCTTTCATCAAAATTGTTTCTTAAATTTGCAATTATTACAATTGTCTTATATAAAATAAAAGTATTTTAGTTATAAATTTTATAATTTGTTTCAATCTATATTTAACAAAAAGAAAACATCAATTATATAAGCTGAATTTAAAAAACATAGAAATATGAATTTTTTCGACACAGGAGTTCTTAATGCTTAAATATTTCAGAGAAATGTCACAGTTATATTTTCATGTTTTAATATGTAATTTTATGCATAAAAGCTGACTTTTAAGAAATCATATTGGTATTTTTCAATGAATATCTTATTCAAATCTCGCAAATATTTGCAAAGTTAAGTGCTTTTGTTAAAAATAGGCCGAAGCAATCCTTTATTTATTGACTTTCGGGACTGAACTGAAGAAGTTTCCATAGAAACAATATCACTTTGCACTTCCATAGAGATTTAAAGTTTATACTTTAGAAGAAATATCTATATAAATAATTTTATTACTGTAAATTTTCTTGTTGTTTAAATAAATATAACTTTAACGTGCAATTATATATGTCATATAAGTAATTTTAATCAATATTTCTTGTTTAAAACTGTAAAGTTACTATTAAGATTTTGATGAAGATATCAATATGTAAATATAATATTAAAGATGTTCCTTTTAATTCTTATATTTTATGTAGTCATATAATATTTTCTCTCATTACAAAAATTGTATACTTAAAATAGATATTGTTTTTGATGATTAAAGTATAATAAACTAGGATGTCAATCCAGCATGTATACAGAATTATCGACATGCAACATTGCACGTATTTATGCAAGTCACGTATCGAGGTCGTTAATTAACTAAATTGAGATTCAACGATTTAACATAGATATATATTAGATAGATTTATTGTAACTGAACAATCACTCTGCGAAAATGCTAATGCACGATGATGTAATCCTTTGGCGCTTTTATCTAACAGCTTAAACAACGATTTAATTGTTTGTTTGAAAACATTCCTGTTTTCGGAAAGTATATCAGTCGTTATTTTGAAGCCATAATAATCCGCAATTAATTGTAACACGAGCTTTTTCTTTTTTTTCTTTATTCATTTTATCAACATATTAACCACAATTATCGGTTTAATTACTCGATCGATATTGGGAACAATCACATATATGTTATTCAGATTTTTGCATAAAATATCAAGGCTTAAAAGTCACTTTTGCTAACATATTTTATAATGCTAATTTTATAAATCACATTTTTAATTATATACATTGCACCTAATTAATTGTAATTTAATTGTAATTGTCTTCTGCTCTTTCTTATCCTTTTAAATTATTTTAGCTATGTTTTATAACACAAATTGTCTTTTATTAGATTTTAAATTTAATATCCTTATTTTCTTATTTTCGAATTTGAACAAGTTTGAAATTTCTTTACCATTTTGCAAAATATATATTGCAACTTTTTATATATTTATATTCCAATTAATATTAAAATATGTTCACAGAAATATATAAAATATTTTTAGTCACACAGTGTTATTTATCTTTCGTTTGCGACTTCGTTCTAATAAAGAGAGCAATAACGTGAGATAGAAGGGTCAAGAGGTAGGAAGGGATTGCTTTTTTTCATAGTACCATCACGAACACGTTTCATTGAGACTTTAAAAATATATTAAAGAGATAGATCGAGTTTAGGATATCATCAGAATTTCGAATTGGAGGATTCTATCGTGGTTAATTCGTTTTGACTTCGTTAATCACTATGCTTTTTTTAAATATCACATAATAAAGTTCTATAGTTCTATTTGAAATTCTCTTTCTTATCTTTCGTTCTCGTTCACACACGTATATATTCTTAGAAGATGTTTATTTTACATAAAATATTTATAATATTGTACACGTTCCTATTCGTTTCTCGAATATCATTTTATGTAAAATTGTCATTAACACATCAAATTGTAATTTCCAAATTGTAATAACTTTGGAAGATATTAAAGTTTGAAAATTACTATGTCAAAAGTTTGTGTGCACAGATATGATAGAGAAAAAAGTGTATCACATATATACTCTGGAGCGAACTTTAGACATCTTGATTCGCCAATTTTATCAGCTCGTCACTTAAAAGTTATCAACATTTCG